GTGTGGAGCAGTGCAGACAGAATCTATAGAGCATTTAGCTGCCAAACTCTTAATGTGTCTACTGAACAGAGATTTTTCAAAGAAATAATGTGGCCAAATTTGGTCAGTTCCTGGGAACAACAGGCCGATCCCTGGTACCAGGGTAACCATACTGCCAAATTTCAAGTTCCTGCTCCAGCATCGAGTTTTGGTTAACAAAACTGTTCTGGTCAATGAATTCTATCCCAGAAGAACTTTATCCTGATTTATAAAGAGGCTGTACCGTTGTTGGCCCTAGTGGATTTATTGCCACTGTGACAAAGCAACCTACACAAAGGATATGTAGCCTTTATATGCACACAGTTGCTTGTAAACCCTGTGCAGTTGTCTCACCCCATATGTGAACTCATTTTCAAACTGGTTCCTTTAAACTAGGAAGCACATTGTAACAGTGATTAAAGTAACCCCATTTCCCCATACTCCTCTAATCACTTAAACAAGTCTTGTCAATTATAGTTGCTGTGTATCATGAGGAAAATCTGACTTTTTTTTCAATCCCTTGTAGAGAACGGCAGATCAAGTGTCCAAGGTGTGACAAGCTGTTCCTGAGGACAAATCACCTGAAGAAACATCTCAACTCCCATGAAGGAAAGAGGGACTATGTGTGTGAAAAATGCTCCAAGGCTTATCTAACCAAATACCACCTCACCCGCCACCTAAAAATCTGCAAAGGCCCCACATCCAGTCTCTCAGCCCAGGAAGAGGAGGATTCAGAGGAGGAAGAACTAATAGAGTCAGTGAGGACTGAAGACTGTAGGATTAACAGTGGAGTGTATGCAACAGATGACTCACTCTCTGGACATAAGTGAAGAAAGATGGAGGAAAACTTTAGATGTAAAATTGGGGAGGAAAAGTCACTCCCCTTTCCCCAAGCATCATGTTTTTATCAATGAAACATTATATCCCTATTTAATAAGCCCTATGGCTAAAACTCTGAATGAGAATGGATGACGCACTTATCTGTTGACAAGGAACAGTTTCCAGTAAGGAGATCATAAAAATACACTGTGCACAGACTGACTCTTGTCTTTCATATATTTTGCTCATAAACACTGACAAAGTTACCTTGCTCCATTCTTTGGATGGAAGAATCATGAAACAAAAATGTGATTTGGTTACCATAGGAACCTGTGAGCCAACAGTCTTGAATTGCCAAAGCCATGAAAGTATGTTGGGGATTTAAAAGAAAAATGATTGTGTATTTTGACACTTTAATTCAAAGGGTTTTGTGTTCTCTCTCTGAGCCACAGAGCATAGTACAGAGCATTCAAATTCTCAGCTTTCCTTCTAGAAGTATAAATTAAATGCTTTGGTTAAAAAATAGTGAAATCAGTACTAAATGTGGATAAAGCAATTACCTGACCACAAAAATTGTAAAGGAGACCAACATTTGGCTTTCAGCTAAGTGTTGCCTTTTAAGTTCCAGTTCAATAGGAGATGAGGCATGTAGTGATCCTACTTAATTCCATATGTTTTAAGTTTTGATGGGTTTACTTGCCTTTCAGACCACCAGAGGCTTGAAATTGTCCAGATAGTATATATTACTCATTACTAAGCTGTAAATCTTAGCCACCTGAAGTGCTGGTGATGATTGGAGGGTTTGCTGCTAATGTATTTATGGAATGAAAATTTGTTTTCCTTTTGGAAAAATTAAAATGTGGCTCTTTTCTAATGTGCTTTTCCAGTAGAATGATGGAAAAATGTAGATCCTCAGTGTGTGTGTCAACATTGCCACGTTCCTAACCCAATTCTGCCTTTGTAGGGCTTGCTGGTAGGAGCATTCCCCATCAGATGGGGTACTCTCCCTAATGCAGTTAAAGAGCATACACAAACGTTATTTTGAAAAACTGTCCTTTCATAGCCAGTTTAAAAAAATGGCTGCTGAGAGCCTGTGAAGTAGGTTGAATTTAACATAGAGCATGGCAAAGGAAGCACTTCACAAGTAATGGAGAAGAATCATAGTAGAACCCCCTGCTCAAAGCAGGACCAATCTCCAACTAACTCATCCCAGCCAGGGCTTTGTCAAGCCTGACCTTAAAAACCTCTAACTACCTCCATAGCTAACCCATTTCAGTGCTTCACCAAATCTAAACCTCCCCCACTGCAACTTGAGACCGTTACTCCTTGTTCTGGCATTTGCTCCCACTGAGAACAATCTCGATCCATCCTCTTTGGAACCCCCTTTCAGCTATCAAATCCCCCCTCATTCATCTCTTTTGCAGACTAAATAATTCCAATTCCCTCAGCCTCTCCTCATAAGTCATGTGCTCCAGCCCCCTAATCATTTTTGTTGCCCTCCACTGGACTCTTTCCAATTTTTCCAAATCCTTCTTGTAGTGTGGGGCCCAAAACTGGACACAGTATTCCAGATGAGGCCTCACCAATGTTGAATAGAGGGGAATGATCACGTCCCTCGATCTGCTGGCCGTGCCCCTACTTATACAGCCCAAAACATGGTTAGCCACCTTGGTGACAAGGGCACACTGTCAACTCATATCCAGCTTCTTGTCCACTATAACCCCTAGGTCCTTTTCTGCAGAACTGCTGTCTAGCCACTCGGTCCCTAGTCTGTAGCAGTGCATAGGAGTCTTCCGTCCTAAGTGCAGGACTCTGCACGTGTCCTTATTGAACCTTAACAGAAGACTTAAGAATAACCAAACCGTAGAGCTTCCTCTGGCAAAGAAGAGTTTGATGGTATAAACAATCAGAGATACCACAGTTGAGGAACAGAGTGACTTGCACTATGAATAGGGACTTTGCTGATATGCCTCCAGCCCAAACTGATTTTGTTAAGTCCCAGCCCTTGCCTGAATCCCTTTTAGGCCCCTTACGTTGTACAGATCCTGGTGAAAATGCAAAGAGTAGCCACTGAACTGATCACAGTTAGGTAGGGGTGTGTGTGGTGGGGGGGAAACAGACTGACTATATATATTCAGGCTGTGGTACACAGCAGGAGGGGCCAGGGCAGAGGGTACATGTAAGGAGCATGAGAGTGGGAAAAGGATGTACTGTGTGAATGCATGTAGTAGGCATGACCCAGACAAACAGGCACCATGGCAGCAAATCTGTGTAAATTAGTATCTACTGGGTTTTTGTTTACAAAAGTTAGCAAGTAAGGAAGACTGAGGGGTCAGACTGCAATCCCCCATTCACCTTCCATCTAAACTAGTGTGGCACCTAAAGTTTTACTGTCAAGTTTCTGACTTTGGGCAGGCAGCTGGATGTCTTTTATACCTCAGCCCCAGCATGATTATCAAACCAGGGGAAATCAGATCTTCCTGTCTCTCACAGCTGGATGGGTGTACTCTGGGCAGGCTTAGCTCCATCCAGAGGGTTC